GTTCGTCCTTTTTGCTATATTGATGCGGGGTCTTCCTCAAACTGAACCGATTTGACCTGATCCGGTTCAGTTGAGAGAAGGGGCTGAACCGACCCCTCCCCTCTTTTCATTAGGCGGGAAATTTCCGGCATTTCTTATTTTTATTTCCTGTTCATCCCACTTCTATTTATGTGTTTTTAGGTTTTAAGGTTTAGATTATGTTATTTCTGATTTCAGATTTGTGAGGACAGTCGCCGACGTCCGGTTTTCTCCTTGAGGATTGTATCCGACGAAAAGGGTGGTGTTCTGGCTGTATCCCTTCTCCCTGGTGGTGATTACCTCTCCCCGACTTCCATTGCCATCCTCGCAAATCTCCTTGCTGCTGGTTTCCCCTTCAACCACATCCTGGCAGCAGGCTTTCCTCCCAGCTGTACCGTCACTGTTGCCCTACCCAACCGCAACCCATCTGAGCCCTTGTCTGCCGTTTTGACGTCATACCACAGCCAGCCTCCCGTCACTACAACAAGCCTCCTCCCTCCCTCCCTTGTTGACCGTAACCCATCCTAGCTCTCATCTGCCAACTTGACGTCATACCCCCAATCCCACCTGCTGCCCTACCTTTACCCCATCCCACGCCCCAATCTGCCACCTGGAAACCGTCCACCGCCCCAAATCTGCTGCCAGCGGCCCTTCCCAATTCCTTCCCCACTACAGCCTAACTCCAACAGCCCAACGGCAGCCCTTCCTCCTTAATCATCGCCTCGAAGGTGTTATTGGTGCTTGTCGTCGTTTATTTCCTGCTTTGGATAGTTATCTTTGTAGCCAGAGTCTAGTTGTAATCTTTTCAGCAGTAATATTATTATTCACATTTTATTTTGTCTTGGGCATTTCTTCTCCGGTATCATTTGAATTAGAGCTAGCTCAATTGTAGTCCTATCTTAGGGTTCCCCAGCGTCCGTCTCACCTCATCACCAGAAAATTTTTTTTCCCAATCCTGAACCACCCATCCAAACCAATTCATAAATTCATTTTGCTGATTTTCAAAATCAGAAATCTCAAATCAAAATTTCTACACCTTCAATTAGTCTCCTCCACCATCTTTCACCTCCTAACCCTAATCACTAGCCAGGCCACTAAAGAGATATATGCCCGAGAAGATACAACGAGAGATTCACCAACTTTAGCAAAGGCTTGCAGATATTGAGTAATAAATTCATTGGGAGGTTACACTCGACCGTCATCGGGAGAGTTGAAGGGGAGAATGAGAGAATCTGAGAATGAAGAGCGAGACACAATACCGGTTCTTACTAGCTTACTACATACAGAAACTTTAGCACTAGTTTCAGAAGTAGAGGGACCGCGACACTGAATGACCCTCACATCTTACAGGTAGGGGTCAACCTCAGGTATCTTATAGTCAAATTACACTAAGAAGAAGAGCGAAGACAACCCCATCAGAGGACAATCAGAGTCAGAATAGAGAACATGTGAGATCGCTTCCCTAAATCTGTCACAGGCAGGAAATACTGCAAGTGTCGCAGATTTGGGCATATGGAATCAGAATGCACCACTAAGAGAGAGGTCTGTTTCACTGAGCAGGGTGTTGTTGAAAAATTGGGCAATGATACAATTGATACGACAGAAGTTGAAGACTTTCTGGGAGGATCCTCCACTTGCAGCTAGCGGGAAGAGACACCACCAGTTTTAGTTGATCACGAGATAGAGATTCCAATTGAGGTAATAGTAGCCATTATGGAAGGTAGTGGCTTAGATGTAATGAGTGTTCAAGCAGAGTATGAAACTCTGGTACCTTAAGATACCGTTTCATAGGCGTTGAGAGGAGCTACAACAAGACTGATTTTGGCGGTCCAGAAGGATCACGAGCTTGAGGAGCCGACATCTGATACAAATAATACAACTTTCTTAGATGGTTAAACCTCTTCCCGAGTTATCCCTATGGGGGAAGGTCCAGCTTGTCCGAAGAGGAGTCATTATTTGGCATGTAGGTAATATCACGTGGAGTTATTCAGAGACTATTTCCCGTTCTGCATGGTACCCCTTGTCAGGTGTCCAGACGGGAGAGATGAACACCTGCTTTGTAATGGACCCAAGGAGTTTGATGAGGATGAAAATTCCGTGGTGCAATCCAGGTCCTATATTTGGAGAAGAGGTCTCTTCTGAGGAAGAGCCAGTAAGGGTGGTGCAGCCTGCCACATATTTAAACCTAACGTGGATTTCTCCTCACATATTAGCTTATCAGTTGCACCAGGCAGTGCGAGGAAAGGAAAAAGCAGATTACAACTGGGATGATGCGATACTTGATTCGTGAGAATACTCGTCTAGCTACAGTTCCAGCTCAGGTCGTGCCAAAGGTGGAAGTATATCTCTTTTATCATAATGTGCTTTGGAATGACAATGTCCACTTGTACGATGTACCAGAGGACTCGACGACGTGCCACGAGGAGTCAAAAGCTTCGGCGAATGAAGTCGAAGCTCCCCCAACTTCGGGAGAATGAAACGTGGATTTTCCTCCAAAAGCTGAACCGTTTTGACCCGAACCGGTTCAATTGAGAAAAGGGGCTGAATTGGTCCATCCCCTCTTTTCATTAGCCGGGAAATTTCTCGTCTTCTTATTTTCATTTTCCACCCATCCCACTTCTATTTATATGTATTTTTAAGTTTTAGGGTTTCAGCTTATGTTATTTCTGATTTTAGATTTGTGAGGACAGCCGTGGGCGTCCAGTTTTCCCCTCGAGGACTGTATCCGACGAAATGGGTGGTGCTCTGGTTGTATTCCTTCTCCCCGGAGGTGATTACCTCTCCCCGACTTCCATTTTCATGCTTGCAGTCATCTCCTTGCTGTTGTTTTCCCCTTCAACCATATCCTGGCAGCAAGCTTTCTCCCAACTGTACGGTACTGTTGCCCTACCCAGCCGCTACCCATCCGAGCCCTTGTCTGCCATTTTGATGTCATACCACAGCCAGCCTCCCGTCACTACGGCAAGCCTCCTCCCTCCCTTACTGGTTGACCGCAACCCAACCCCACCTGCTGCCTTTACCCCATCCCACGCCCCAATTTGCCACCTGTAAACCATCTACAGCCCCATATCTGCTGCCAGTGGCCCAATTCCTTCCCCACTACAGCTTGTCTCCTCCGGCCCAACAGCAGCCCATCACTGTTTCCTTCCCCTCTACAGTCCGCCCCCCATTACAGCTCAATTCCAACAGCCCAACAGCAGCCACTACCTTAACTAATTTTCCTGTAGCCTTTCGCAATTCTTAGCCTTCCAGTTCCTGCCACAAGCCTCTCCAACCTGTCCAAACCCTACAGCAACCTTTCCCCAACTCCAGTCACTACAACAACCACTCTTAGGCCTCTGAACTGCTAGCCAGACTCCATCCACCACCCTCACCGAAGCCCTAGGGTTCTCTCGTGTTTGTATTGTTTGTTATTTTTCTATTATCAAGTGTCTGTGTTTGTATCCCTATTAAAGTTCAGCAATAATAATATCTTTTTTTTTTTTGGTTTGGGCTTTCTCTCCGGTTTCATGTCTATTCAATATTTTTTTTTGTACTTTATCAATAATTCTTGCAGTTTTTTTTTAGTGTACTCATATCATTATTGTAATATTACATTTTATAATAAAAACCTCAAAACCAATTTAGTGTTGCTTTGAGTTCATGATGCCTTCAATTTCACATCCGAGAAAACCTTTTCTACATCGGGGACAACTCTCACGTGCTTGTCATGGTTTGATGTCTTTATTTTTGTACATGTATATTTTCAATGTCCCTCACAATGACTTTAAAGACATAAATCACTTTCATAACCTCCACCATGGCTTATAACAACAAAAAATTGAGGTTAGTAGTTTATTTGTATTTATTTATTTATTTATTTTTTGTTCTTAGAAGGGTGAATTGCTGCTGTGTATTTGGTTCATAATAGCTTCTTAAAGGTTCTGATCTGATTGCAAGATGCATATTTATTTTTATTTCATGTATTTTCTTTAATCATTTTTATTTCCTTTGTCTAGATAGCCATGAAATAATGCTTCTATTCTTACTCATTAGGTAAGGTAGTTTTAGTTATGCATTAGTTTACTATTGATTTATAAATATGCTTCTTAGGCTGTATTGAATGATGAAGATTGATTGAATTGCGTTTCCCCTCTTTCTTTCTGTTCGATTAGTTATTCTCTCTATTTTTTTATCCTCTATCTCTCTCCTCAATTCGTTACCTGAAACTATTTTTTCCCTTATCCTCTCCATTCTAACCTAATACCAGATGGCTCAGCACATTCTACTCTTGAGACCACTTATTAGACATGAATCCCAAAGCCATCCAATGATCTTTTCTATAGGCATGGAAGCCTAGTTGGAATTCTTCTTTACCCGGTTATGCTTCTTATGGAATTTAGCTTTTGCCTCTCTTAACCGAGAGAAGCTTGCCGTGAAGTTAAGGATTTGCTATGCAATAAATTATGACACAATGAATTAGGTTTTGAGTTTTATTCTGATTCTTACTATCTCTTCTACATATATTACAGTTGCCCGCCCCCTTAATCAAGCTTAACTGCATCAAACCTTTCTTCTTCGTCCGAGGTTGGAATTTTAGCTGCCGCTTTTTAACTTTCTCAAATTAGAATCTGATGCATATGTTCTCTTGAGGACAAAGCTGCTAGCAAATTATTGTTCAAATAGAAACAAGAGATGTATCACAACATCTTTACGCACTAGGTACAGTGGACACTCACTGTACTTTATAGCATATTTTCATGGAATATCAGTACTACTTAATCATGATGCTGTAGTTTAAGCATTTTTAGTCAAAATTTAAGCATTTTTAGTCAAAATTTAAGCATTTTTAGTCAAAATGACGTTCTATCTTGCAGTACTTCTGTAGATTAAGCTTTCTTTGATTAATATGAAGTGCAAAATTTTATTGCACACTATTATATTTAATAAATTTGAAATATTTGTAAATTTGCTATGACTTGGAACCTGCTTTCCTTCGACAGCAAATACTCTCGAGTTAGAAAATGGACGCTTGGACTGGAAAGCGGAGTTGATCGAATTGCTATAATTAGAGCTTCTGGAGCCATTAGCCGCACTAAAATTCCGTTAAGCTTACCTGGAAGCGGCATCATTGGGGAGCAGCTGATTGAGAAGATCCGAAGTATTAGAGGTATTTTCTACTCTGTAGCAGTCCTCATTCATCAATAATATCAAATGCTAAATTGGGTTGTCCTCTTTGTTAACTTCTGATTTTAGGTTATCCAGGAGTTTGTTGTTTACCTATTCATTAATGGTATTAAATTCTATTCATTAGCATCTAGATAGATGCAAATTAAACTTCTTAGATTATTTGTATAACATGTTAATAGAAGTGTATCTTCTTTGTGAAACTCCTTAAACAGAATGAAGTAGAACTCTTAAACATCAAGACGCTTTTTGGTGTATCGGTTTGAATTTCATTAGCCATAATTAAGCGTGCTCTTGTGTGAGCACTCTAGGATGAGTGACCTTCTGAGAAGTTACACCAATGGTGACAAAACTGTAAGGCTATTTGGCCAAAACGGACAATATCTCGATGGATGAGAGTTTGGGCTATCACCAAATGTATCAGAGCATTATATTAGCATAAAGCTCGAATATATGCCTGGGGGTTGATTCTGGGTTAATAGAACTGATGTGGACGTCATTTGATCAAGTGAGGGGAGACTGTACAACCCCTTATGTAGAATGTTGCTGAACCCTTGAACGTCGAAGTGCCTTTTGGTGTAATTGTTGGAATTTTATTAGAAACTTCAAAGTTAAATGTGCTCGTGCGGGAGCACTCCTAGGATAGATGACCTCTTGGGAAGTTACTACAATGGGACAAAATTGTGAGGCTATTAGGCCAAAATAGACAATCTATTAATGAATGAGAGTTTGGCCTGCCTCAGTCTTTTTACTGCTTGGTAGCTTTCTTGTAAAGGATAACAAACAATATTGTACTAGCATTTAACTGATGCGTTGACAGCTCATAACACGTTATTGCATTATTAAATTCCTCATTTCCTTTTTAACGGCCTTCCATAAACAAAACATGCAATTTTATGCACCGTTCTTGTTTAGTTCAGGCGGTATATGTTTCGCAAGGTAGTTTTCATGCTTTCAAGTCTGTAACGCGCCTTTGTTGATGATGAATATTCTTTTGTTCACTTCTTTGAATCATGTATGTATTTGTCTAGCTTATTTGTAATTGACTTCGTGGTGATGCGGGGCTCTTGGAGAGACCACCTGTACCGGGTGGCCAGAAGACTGGCTGAATTGGCCTGGAGGGAGTTCCAGTTCAGACACTGCTGGATCGGCCAGCTCCACTATGTTTATTCTTTCAAGCAGCTCCACTATGTTTATTCTTTCAAATCCAGTTCAGACACTTAGCCTAAATCAATCTTGTTTATTCTTTCAATTTTGTTGAGTCCAAATCTAGATTGTTGAACTCAACTAATTGTAAGCATCATTTCAATATTTTAATAACGTGACTTCATTATTTTGTCATGCATCTCTTTATCTTGTTTAAATAATTTGATTGCAATGAATGTTTGTATGCATATTTATTTTTTATATTTGAAACGTCAATGTAAGAGTAAATGCACTACTATCTGAAGGTAATGAAGCATTTGCCCGTCACAAGGATCCATTCTATTTTCTACTTCTAATGATTTGGCACTTTGAAAATGTTGAGCAAAATAAAAGAATTTTGTTTCTTTTCTTGCATTTGCATCCGTTCATATGAGTTGTCTTGTTTCACATTCTCATGAGCCACTCTCCAACTACATCCATGATCTAGCTCTTATCCCTTCGATCTTTCTCACACATACTCTATGCTCTCAACTGAAGTAGCCATCAATTCTTTTTATGTCAGATTTTTTGTCACAATTGCAAGTAGTGTTAAGTACATATCGGATTACCCATCTTTGAATTTGTTGATATATGTGAAAAGGATTATAATAAAGGGCTCCTTTTTATTCCTCAACCAAAAAAGTCTTGTCAGCGACTCTTTGAAGATAAGGTCAATTCCCGCTACCTCCTCTCTAATTAGCTTTTAAATGATATATTTTTATCCCATGGCTTGTCAATACTTACTTCTATCAGCATCATCTTTCGTATCACTAGCAATAAATGTTTCTCCTTCGAGATAGACCAGTTAGGACTTCACCTCCCATGTTTCTCAGATCTTCACCCACCCTTATAGTCGAACTTCACTAACCTTTGTTGATGCATGGTAGCACCGACCTCTACTTGTAACCTGCTTATAGGACTTTGCTGGAAACTAATCTTCCATATTGCCAGGAATCCACTCAACTACAAGTTGTGATTGCATGTCACTGTCACCCTCCTCATCGATTGTTACTGGCCTCCTTTACAAATATTACCAATCTATGAACCCAAGGAACTATAGGGTTGAGACCATAGTTCTATTTATTGATGCTGAAATTTTTTCTATTACTAATTGGAAATTTTGCTTTTGCTCTTATCGTCACCTCTAGTGATTTTAGGTTTCTCTCATCATCGATTGTCCTCAACGACAGTATCCAACAACCTTTTCACTACTCTCAACTATCCTTACTATACCTAAAACTAATCATTGATGCATTTGGTCTTTTTTTTTTCTCTCAAGATTTCTTTTAACTGTATATTCTGCCTACATTCTCCAATAGCTATTGTGTTGATGTATTTCGTTCTTACTATGCGAATGCTTTTTATCAAGATTTTTTATCAATGCTCTCTATTGATACAACCAATAATTCTTTTTATAGATACTTTTGTTCAAGAATTTTGTATGAGTTTTTTTATTTTTTTAATTTTTTATTTTTTTTATTTTTGCGATTGATATAATTGTTGATTCTTTAAGTTTTACTCCCTTTATTTTTCATGGATTGATTGCATTCAGCTTGTAGCATTTCAATCTTTGAAAACAAAATCCGAGACTAAATCTATAGCCTTTTATTTACAAACTCAAGTTGATATATTCTATGCCAACTTGACTATAGTGTTAGTTTCACCATATCTTGATTATTACACGTGCTGACTTATTTATAATGGAAATATAAATTATTTATTATTGGAATATTTTTCCATGATGAGGAAATTCTTCTATTGTATTTTTCTTGAAGTGTCTCTTTTCATTCCTGTATATAGGCTCATATATGCTTTCATCTGGAATACAATCTAATAAAAATATTCTTCTTTACAAAACTCTCCCTCTTCTAACACAAAATACTAACATATATGTAGTATGTTACTGTGGAGGCGGATGAATCATTAAGTCTAACAAGCTTTCAGTTGCAAGAAAGCTTTGATCTTATTACATCATTGTTCTTCTAAAATCTTCTATTCAAGAAGCTCTCATATGCAGTTAGTTTCAACTTTATATGAGCATTTGAATTCTCTTGTAATCCTTGTTGATCTAACAAATATTTTTCTATTTGATCCTTAATCTATTGATAAATTCTCGCCCTAAGGCTCTTCTTTAGGTTTGGCTTGTATTTATTTGTGAGTTTCTTCCATGTTTTGGTGGATGAATAGGTTCAAGTTACATCTTAGGATTTGTTTTAGAAAGGTTTAATAAAATTCACGCTGTTATTGGATGCGTAAATTATAAGTTCAGTGTCACGATCCAGCTCGGGGCTTGGAATCAACCAAAGCGGGAACTGACGATCAGACGGGTAAATTAAATTTTCTATATTAACTCACAATTTAGCAGATGAAAGAGCCACTAAAAATTAATTTAATATAATAGAATTTATAATTATATCGTCAATGGTTGTTTGTGCCTTCTATAAACGATTTCTCGTTTGTTGCTCATCTTTTAATAATTTAATTAAATCTGAGAAGTTAGTTATAACAACTGTGAGCTAAAGAGTTAGTGAATACTCTTCTTTAAGTTAGAAAGAATAATATGCATATTAGCTAAGTTTCTTTATAAATCAATATAAACATTGAAGATGTTATTCGTAGGGATCTATATCATTATCATATCTATACAACCGTCACAGGAGACACCGTTTAAAAATTTGTGTCAATTAAAACACATTAATATCAATATCATTTTTTTTACGTGCACGATACATTAGTTTTCACCCACTGGCACCATCAAGGGGTGGTACCATCAAGGGGTGGTACCATCAAGGGGTGCTCCATCATAGTCAATCATACACATACAAAGAGACAACATAAATACATGTGATCATCACTTTCAATCATGATATATAAAATAAACACTAAAATGTATTAGTAAATAACTACAATATTCGCAACGAAATGACCAATAAAGAAAATAATAACTCAATCAGGATAAAACATCAACAAATATCATCAACTGCAAACTTATTTTAGAAGAAACAAATTATTACAATAGTTTAAAAGTACAAGCTATCACTTCGATGATACTTAATTTGTTATTGGCCTTGATGTTGATTTTTTAAAAAATTGAAAGCCTAACATAAATATAATATTTAATGAATTTATTATTTTAAATAAACTATTATTTTTAAATTTACATTGAATTATTCTGTTCAATAAATAAAATTTTTAGTATCTTATTATTATTAATATTAATTAATTAATTAGCTAACTAAAAACTATCTTTACCTTAACGCTCGACCCGGCTCGACTCGCACGTGAGCACCCCATTTGAAGGAGGTTTCCTTCCTCCTTTGTCGATCTCTCGGTTCGACCCAGAGAAGCACACACAGGGACTTTTTCCCGCTTCCTCTTTCTTTGCACAACACCCACGTCGACTCGTTGTTGCCAGACACCGACACCCCCCCTCCTCATCTGTGACGCTCCTTCCTCTTCCCACGGCTCGGCTGTATTCCTTGTCACGAATCTCGACAAAGCAGTGACACGTTCCTCTTCTCTGCACATCACCACCACCCTTCAACTTCCCTTCTCTATTGATGCCGCGGCTCACCCCTAGCGGTGCAATCCTCGATGTCACCGTTCGACTTTCTTGGTAAATCATTAGGTTTGCTTGTACGTCTCAATCCCCAATTTTTCCCGTCCATTTATGGGCGAACTTTCTTGACCCTTTTACTTCTTCTACCCCAATTTGGCTTCCCAAGCTTCTTGGTTTTTCATCCCCTTCTATTTGGTTTCTTGACTACTCGCTACCTCTTCCTTCAACTCTTCCTTGCTCGATACCTCACTTTGGTTTTTCGCATTTTTCGCATTTCATCTTCTCCCGTAAAAAAAAAAAAAGAGGAAGAAATATGTTACATTATGAGGTTGTTAAAACATTCAGTTATATTGAGTTGGGAGATATTTTTCTTATAACACGTTGTTTGGATTTGTTGAGAAGCTAGTAAAGAGGGGGCCTCATTCAAAATAAATAATGTTTGTTTCTACCCTCTTTTCTATCTTTAGTTGCATTGTTCTTTTGGTAGATTTATTCAGCTCTATTTAGTCGTCTGTTTTTGCTGTGTAACTGTCTTGTTTTTGTTTTGTTGTGACTATTTGTCATTATTGTATGGTTATTAATTATATTGCTTAAGTTGCTTTGGACACTGATTCCTAAGAATCCTATTTTATAAGACATGTACCCTATGATTTACAGTTATTTGTTTATTTTTTGCTTGTGATAATTATTTCTTCCAAGGGTACATAGGATTTACAGTTATTTGTTTATTTTTGTTTGTGATAATTATTTCTTCCAAGGTACGTGGCTGCTTTCCTTCCTCTTCTAAGTTTTCTTCTTGCCTCTTCTTCTCGTTAAATCTACCCTTGCTTTCTCCCTTTGTTTTCCTCTAAAGCATCCCGGTCAGGGTCTTTCTCTCAGCTATTCTCATAGCTTGCTTCCAGTTTGCCTGTGGCCAAACAAACTACAATGTTTCCATTCTTCCTTTCGCATTACAGCATCCCAAACTCCCTATAAACTACACATTGTATCCATTGATGCCTTCTAAGTTTGATCTCACACACATTATCAAAAACAGGATAATGCCAACTTAGAATCCTTTTTACACACATAGCACTCACTAATGAAGTTCATTTGATTATGTCTGTGGCATTTTATCTCTAACAACTAATATTTTACATGTACTTAGGGCCGTAAATGAGCCGAGCTTGAGCGAGCTCAGGCTTGACTCGTGTTCGGCTCGTGTTTGAATTTGGCTCGTGAATAGTATTTTCGTGTTCAACTCGAAATTGACTCTTTAAAATTAATTGAAAAAAGTAAATGTAGGGTGTTTCATTCGAACCTGCACCAACTATGTGCTATAGAATGCGCAAAATCACATGATCACACGAGCTGTTATGATTTCAACTTAGTAAAGCTAAATTCTATTGTGGTATCAGAAAAACACAAAAGATAGGCTCCTAGGTCAGTTAAGTATCCAGTGCAAGGCCATTTTCTCATCTTTATTGCAGATAAAATGCTAAATGAGTAATTAAAGGAAGAAAGTTCATATCTTCTTCAAATCAGAAAATCACCTTTCTTTTGGATGTCAAAAGGCTTATTCGCTGCATGAACGTAAAATTGTAAAAAGGCTATTTTGATGCTTATGGCTATTAAACAGGGCAAGTGTTTGTGTTTGGAGTTATCAGAAGGTGCTACTGTCCGATGCTGGATATTTTTGAACTAAGCCTCAATGTCTTTAATTTTATAAAGGCATAAAATATTTATTTGCTTTAATTTTAATGCTTTGCAGATTTCAGTAGTTTCATTTTCCCCTTTTAACAAATTGTTGTTGCAGATTCAAAGAAGTATAAGGCTCTTATTTTGCGTATTGACAGTCCTGGTGGTGATGCTTTGGCTTCTGATCTGTGAGTCCCACATATTTTTCGTATTTGGTATTGATAAATCAATTTATGACTAACTTCTGCTGCTATTTTATAGTTTTATACTACTGAAAGTTGCAAACCTTTGGAGTATGAGAACTTTCATCATGCGAACCATTCATATACATGATGCGCTTATTACTGCATGTCCTTTATCAGAGAAAGCTTCAATTCTCTTCATAGCTGAGCTAAAATGCGCTGTTTATCTTGCAAATTCTGAATCTGTGGTGCACATTTTTCAGTGCTTGCATCTTTAGCTATTTGATATTCAATAATAATGAAAATGTTCTCGGACTGATACGGAGAGATGGGAGGGGCAAAATGGGGAAAACCTTTTATATGTTTGATTTTTTGAATTTGAGTGGAAGCCTATCCTTTGTTAGGCATGGGTGGGGGATAATGGATGAAGCGGAAAAATGGAAAAAAACACGGTGTTATATGTATGTTTACTTTAACTTGTTGTGAAGCCATAGAGGGATGGTTGTACCATTAAATCCTGTGCTAAATGTAGAAAGCATCACAAGGTTGAATGTTTTTCAGGCCCTAACACATGCTACTAGCTAGTGTTGTTAGCTGGATCATATTGCAGGATATTGCGCTATATTTGGCCCTAAGACTTCTAAGAAATTAAATCAAGTGATGCTCCTTCACAAAAAATTATAGATATGCAAATGATGATAGAGTCAATTTGTTTCAGCTCCCACTCGATGACTACCAATGCAAAATATATGACCACCAGTTTATTGCCTAACTCAATGAGAGCCCGGGTTGATTTGGCTAACGACATTGCAAATATTTGATCAAATGTTGTTATACTTTATAGTATATTAAAATGTTATCTTACATGTACCGCCCTGTCTTAATAGTTGGACATGTATTTAGCAATGATACTTATTTTTTATGATTTTCACCTGCTATGATTTTAGAATATTAAGTAGCATTGTTTAGCTTTCTTGTTTGAGGATATAGTGGCAAACGATTCATACTTGTACAAAATGAGCTATCATTGTAAACTTTGAGGATGAAATTTTTTACAATGTCTGGAAAAAAGAAAGAAAACTAAAAGCTGCTGATGTCGGTTATACTGAATTGACATTAGTGGTTGCTATTATAAGACGAGATGAAGATGAAGGGGCGTAATTCTCTTGCAAGCAAGCGAGATAGAGTTGAAAGCAAGCAGGTGAACCTATAGTGAGTGAGAGTGAGAAATTGTGAACACAACTTGTGAAGTAGGAAGTAGCAACACCAGTGGATGAACGTTGTGCGGAAGAGCTAGGGGAGCCAAGCAAGCTTGGGCTGGCCTGATCTCTGTGCCAAATTTGGTTTGTGCAAACTCAAGGTTTTATACGGTTGAGTGTGCGGCCAGGTGTAAGTAAGAAGAGCATGATAGCATAGTTTACTTCTCATTTATTTTTGTGTGCACCTATAATTTATGATACGCTTACACTTCGCAATAATGAAACATGCACTGATCGTGGTGTGACAGAGGTTGGTAATTTGGTCAGACTAACTCTCATCAGCACTCGTCCTAACTTTTATAATCATGACTTGGTGTGTGATGAATTAGCCTAACTTGATCGTCGCAACATACGTGATATTTTACATTTCAAATACATACTCGGAAGCATGAAAATCATATCATCCAAAATATGAAAACTATATAGAGTTGCTAAATCCAATGTATTTAAAAGAATACTTTCTCAAGACATATGTACAAAGCTCCCAAAACTAACGTGTAAATGCTGAACAAAGACATATCTGGCTACTCACCCCGGTGCTCATTACCTCTACTTGGAAGCAACAGTGAAGAATGAGCAACAACGAACTTAGATAAATAATCACGGCTAACATAAGATTTTATTTTTGAAAAAAAAAACATGTATGCTCATATAAAACTATACATCTCTAGACACCAATCATAATATATTGATATAGTAGAGAAAATAAAGATAGAGCGGGTATAGGTAGTATAAAAATCAACGGTATTGTAACATGCAGGACGTAAACATGAAATCATAAAAAAAAACATGTTCATAGTATATTATCAGGTCGAGTCATTTTCGGGTCAAACTAGAACCAGACCCGCTGACTCAAATTGACACCCCTAATAGCAAGGGTTGTGACCTTGCTACAGGGAGCCGAACGAAACTCCAGGCGGGATTTCTGCTGCATGAAATCAAATAGGGAGATCGTGAGAGGAAGAAGCAAATGCAAAGTTCACGCCCTATTCGAATGAAAGAAATGAATAAAATGGTGCAAGGTCGATCATCTACAGTGCTATAGGATTAGGATAGGATTAGGAAATATAATTAAGATGATTATACTTTTAACTTCAAAATTTTTTATCTGTCAATCTATTCACAATTCATGCATGATGCTTTATATGGAATTAATTGATTTCATGCATAGAATTTTAAAAAATTATTTCGATTGAATTTCTGAGATGAGATATTTGGGTTACTTTTCAAATGTGCCATTTTTTACCTGTTTTCTTGAAACTTGGGTGTTACAACTCTTATCTTCTTATAAAAATTTCGTCATCAAAATTTATGGCTTGGTGAGGTATTATTTTGTAGCATTTCTTTTTTTTCCCAAGTCGCTTTTTTTTCGGGTCTGTGCTTCCACTTTATCTTTACAAAAGGGATCTATTTATTTCGAAGCTTTTTAACATCAGTTGCTAAATTCTTTTCAGGCTCTTCAATGTATTTTAAATTTTTTTGTACTTCAATAACTTCATTTGAAATTCTCTGCTCTAAATTGGAAACCTATTTTTTAAACGTTGAAATGTGAAACACATCGTGTATGTTTTTCATATCCGCAGGTAATGCTAATTTGTAGGCAACTGTATCGATTCTTTTCATAATTTCAAAAGGTATTTGTCTATTTTGGAGCTTTTTAACATCAGTTGCTAAAATCTTTTCGGGCTTTTCAATATATTTTAAATTTTTCTGTACTTCAATATCTTCATGTGAAATTCTTTGCTCTGAATTTGAAACGTATTTCTTAAACATTGAAATGTGAAACATATCGTGTATATCTGACATATACGCTGGTAACGCTAATCTGTAGGCAACTGTACCGATCCTTTCCATAATTTCAAAAGGACCAACATATCTGGGACTCAGCTTGCTCCCCTGACCAAATCTAGTTGTACTTTTCATTGGCTTGACTTTCAAAAATATGAAATCTCCAACTTCAAATTTGATTGCTTTGTGCTTTGGGTCGTAATATTTCTGTTGTCGATCCTAAGCAGTTTTCAATCTGCCTGATTAATCTGATTTTCTCTATGGCTTCATCAACATGTTTGGGCCCTAACTTTTGGCATTTACCCACTTCAACCCAACTGAGTGGAGCTCTGCGCTTTTTGCCATACAAAATTTCATGAGGAGTCATTTTGATACTGGATTGATGGCTACTGTTGTAAGCAAACTCGATCATTGGAATGTGATCTTTCCAATTATCCTCGAAGTCAAGGATACAAAGCCTTATTTGATCTTCCAATACTTGAATTGTCCTTTATGATTATCCATCGATTTGTGGATGAAATGCAATGTTGAAATATAACTGTGTACCGAAATCTTGTCGAACACCTTTCCACAAGCTAGACTTGAATCTTTTGTATTTGTCAAAAGAAACAACTTTTAGAATACCGTGCAATCTGATAATTTTTTTTTACATACAATTTAGCAACTTTTCTACTGAATCTATCTGTTTGATAAGCCAAAAGTTTGTTGACTTAGTTAATCTGTCAATAATGACCCAAATAATGTCGTGACCCTGTCTGGATCAAGGAAATCCCATGACAAAATTCATAACAATTCATCCCATTTCCGTTAAGGTGTTGTCAACAATTGTAGTAATCCGCTGGGTCTCTGATGCTCGGCCTTCTAACATGCTTCTGACTTGTTTGACATTGAGATACATATTCAACATCCTTCTTCATATTTGACCACCAGAATGCCAACTTCAAATCTTTATAAATCAGAGATGAAATGCGGTGCTGAAATATAACTGTGTACACCGAAATCTTGTCGAATGCCTTTCCACAAGCTAGACTTGAATCTTTTGTATTTGTCAAAAGCAACAACTTTTGGAATGCCGTGCAATCTGATAATTTTTTTTGACATACAGCTTGACCAACTTTTCTACTAAATCTATCTGTCTGATAGGCCAAAAGTTTGCCGACTTAGTTAATCTTTCAATAATGACCCAAATAATGTCGTGACCCTGTCTGGATCGAGGAAATCCCATGAAAAAATTCATAACATTTCATCCCATTTCCATTAAGGTGTTGTCAACGATTGTAGCAATCCGCTGGGTCTCTGATGCTCGGCCTTCTAACATGCTTCTGACTTGTTTGACATTGGGATACATATTCAACATTCTTCTTCGTATTTGGCCACCAGAATGCCAACTTCAAATTTTTATAAATCAGAGATGAAATGCAGTGCTGAAATATAACTGTGTACGGAAATCTTGTCGAGTGCCTTTCCATAAGCTAAACTTGAATCTTTTGTATTTGTCAAAAGCAACAACTTTAGGAATACTATGCAATCTGATAATTTCTTTTGACATACAATTTGACCAATTTTTCTACTGAACCTATCCGTCTTATAGGCCAAATGTTTGTTGACTTAGTTAATTTGTCAATAATGACCCAAATAATGTCGTGGCCTTGTCTGGATCGAGGAAATCCCATGACAAAATTCATAACAATTCATCTCATTTCCATTAAGGTGTTGTCAACGATTGTATCAATCCGTTGGGTCTCTGATGCTCTTCCTTCTAACATGCTTCTGAATTATTTGGCATTGAGATACATATTCAACATCCTTCTTCATATTTGGCCACCAAAATGCCAATTTCAAATCTTTATAAATTTTCGTGCTGCCTGGATGAATTGTGTAGCATGAATGATGAGCTCATGTAGAATTTCTTGTCTCAAATCAAAATCAGTGTTTGCTTTTATGTGTACCTTATTTTGA